TGTTCAAACCTCCATTTCATTTGAGCCATCATATTATCAAGAACTTTGTAGTATTCCAATGTTAAAAATTGATCTGCAGAAATATCTTCACCCGATTTGTTCAGAAAAAATTTGTAATGGTCCAAAATAATTGTAAAACAATAATCTTTCTCATATATTTTATTTATGTAAAGTTTAAAATATTATAAAAAAAAAATGTTTGGCGCCCCTTTAAACCATGCGCCCGGGGCATATGCTCCCTAGGCCCCCCCCACGGCACGGCTCTGTCTGTACTCACTAACCAACTATAATGTAAAATTGTTAGCATTGGTCCTCCTTTAAAATGTACTTCACTGATAACAAATTTACAATCTTCCATTTTGATTTCTGAAAATAGGTTGCTAACATGCTTTTTTAGTTTAAAATAAAAATTATAAAAATTAAATTCTAAGTTTTAAAAATACACAAATCTACTTAATAGTAAAATGTGCAATATTTAATGTAATATTGTTAACACAGAAAATGTATCTACATTTTCATCATTATGCATGGGTCTTATCAATGCTTTAGATTTGATATTAATTAATTTTATTGGTTTAAGTTCTGATAAATTATTACATAAAAATATTCCAATATTACCTGAAGGCAAAGGAAATTCAAATAAATCATTTACATTTAAAAATTTTCTACAAACCAAAAATATTTCATTATCACTCTGAGTGATATTTTCAATTAAAAGACCCATCATTATCAATGCAACAATTATTCGGTTTCTTTATAGTTAGTAAAAATATTTCGGTATGAACTTGTTTATACGACACACCTTCAACTCCAACAATAAAAGTGCCATTCACATTTCTTTTTTTTAATATTGGGTAATTTTTAGTGTTTATAACCCTTTATAGGGCAAGGGGATATATATTTCCCACCCAAGAAAAAAAATTCTAACCATGTGTGGTCACAGGTAATATTTTTCCCACTTGTTTGAAAAAAACCGTTATTTTTTTCTGTATACGACAGTGTCAATTATATGTATTTGATAACATTTCAAATAAGAGAAATAAATCGATAACTATCAAAGTGGGAAATTATCTACCCATTGCCCACAGGCGATACACTTTTTTTCCCTCCAATAAATTTCCTATCAAAATTGTTATTTGTTTTAATTTTGATAAATAAGCAGCTTAACTTACAAAGTCTTTGGTGATATTAATTTAAAGATAACATTTTAGCGCGTTTTTCTGTGTTATCTTACGGTTTATTTGAAATGTATTTGCTGTGTTATCTATTATATAAAAATAAGTCCGGTTTTCCTCCCTGACGCTATAACTCGAGAACGCACGAACCGATTTCCACGGTTTTGCATTCGTTGGAAAGGTCTTGGGCTCCGTGAGGTTTATAGCAAAGAAAATTCTGGAAAATTCAGGAAAAATTCAACAGAAAAGTGGGAAAATCGTTTTTCACATACAGCGCCATCTATTATACATAGTATGTACTTCAAACCAATAGCAACGGTGCGTGATAAAGTGTTTGACGGATAGTTGTTTATTATATAGTTGACGGATAGTTGTTTACATTATTCTCTGCTCAGTTAATTTCATTTAAGCTAAAATAAATTATGTAAATTATGTGGATCGTGCATTTGAAGTTAAATTCAACACTCTGTCCATAGTACAAAATGCCTAGAGAACGACGTGCGAACATCGGCCGCCGCACAAGACATGCAAGCCAGCAACAAGTATATTCAAGGAACTTAAGAGAAGAAAGACAAAATATAATAAGAGAAAATGACCGATTGAGACATCGCGTGAGCACACGAAGATCATTGGCATCATACAATCGCTTGGCATTCCAATATGATCCCACTGCGAACTACGGTGATGATGAAAATTTTGATATTGGACGAATGACGACTATATGCCGATATTGCAATGCGTTAAAGTTCAAAAGAGAAACGGTTGGATTGTGCTGCGCAAGTGGAAAAGTCAAACTGGATCCATTACTTACACCACCACATCCACTGAAATCATTGTTTGGGATGAGTGCACAATGGCACATAAGAAATCACTTGAAGCACTTAACTTCACACTGAAGGATCTTCGGAGAAATAACAACATCTTTGGCGGCTTGATGATATTGTTGGCAGGCGATTTCAGGCAGACGTTGCCAGTAGTTCCCCGTGGAACGCCTGCAGATGAATTGAATGCTTGCCTAAAGGCATCACCTTTATGGAATAACGTAAAAACATTATCGCTAACCACTAATATGAGAGTTCTACTTCAAAATGATCAAAGTGCTGCACAATTTTCCAAACAATTGTTAGATCTTGGAAATGGAAAAGTCCCAGTTGATGCGACATCTGGATTAATTACTCTTACCAACGACTTTTGCCGATTTGTAGACACTCAATTAGTTCTTATTGAAAATGTTTTCCCAAACATTAGTGAGAATTATAAGAATTATGCTTGGTTAAGTCAACGAGCAATTCTTGCAGCAAAGAATAATGATGTCCACGCACTGAATTTCACCATTCAATCAAAAATTGCTGGCGATTTGGTGACATACAAATCCGTTGATTCAATAACAAATCCCGATGATGTAGTAAATGATGTAGTTTTTGAACTCTCTGGAGATACCAGGATTTCCACCACATAACTTGCAACTGAAAGTTGGTACAGTTATTTTGATACTGCGTAATTTGAATCCACCGCGACTTTGCAACGGTACTCGACTTTCGGTAAAGAGACTTATGCCGAATTTAATTGAGGCAACCATTATTAACGGAAAGTACGCAGGTGAAAATGTATGTATTCCTCGAATACCAATGATTCCGACTGATCTTCCGTTTGACTTCAAACGATTGCAATTACCAGTTCGCCTTGCGTTCGCAATGACAATTAATAAGTCGCAAGGCCAATCGCTTAGTGTTTGCGGGATAAATTTGGAAAATCATTGTTTTTCACATGGACAGTTATACGTTGCGTGTTCACGAGTTGGGAAACCATCCGCTTTGTTTGTGTTAACGTCAAACCAAAAAACAAAAAATGTGGTTTACCAAAGAGCACTACAATGAAACAATTAAATAACACTTCATTTTAGTAGGTAATTGAAATGAATTTATTACTGTTGTGAAATGAAATAAATATTTTCCTTTTCAAATATATAACAAAAAAAATTTTTTTTCTTTATATTTTAATCACCAAACGAAAAAAAACATAAAACGAATCTGGTGGCGAAACGGAGTTCGCCGGGTCTGCTAGTCAATTTATAAAAATAATTGAATATTATTTTCAAATATGTAGTTGTGGTTTTGAACTTAGAAAAAATACTTTCAAACTTCACTAACAATCTTGAAGTAAGTATATTCTGAATCGTTATTTCATACTCTTTCGATAAATATACACTTTTGGGGCCAAAAATGACCCACTTACAAAATATTTACGTATAATTATCAATTTTTTTCCCAGATGCTATCAGAATATGAGATTTTAGAAGAGTTGAATGCTATTACCGATGATATGGCATTCGATTCGGAAGACGGTGGAGATTCTGATGCAGAAGACTGTACCACCAATGCAAATAACTCTCTAAGTCAACCAGTATGGCATTTATCTACCAGATCATCAGGTAAATAAACCAAATAATTATTTTTTTAATTTCTTATTATATTTAATCAAAAGTTTTTTTTTACATACAGGTTCTAGTATGGCTGAAGCTGAAGTGCAGGTGCCTAATGTATCAAATATTGAACAAACAAATAGTAACATTCCTTCTACTTCTCAAGGTATATTTCAATTTATAATTGTTCAATATTTTGAATTAGATTTTTGTTTGTATTTGTTGTATATATTATAAAAAATAAAAATAATTTGGTACAAAAATATTGTATTATACAATTTAGTATATTATATGTACCTAGAACCTATATAACATTATTTATTATTTTACTAAAATAAATTTGTACCTACCTATATTTATGTAAATGTATGGAATATGTTATTGCAATAACTAATGTATTGTACTGTAAAAATAAAACTATGATGAAAACATTAATATAGTTGGTACCAATAGTTATATATAATCTTTAACATAATTAAAATTACTATTAATTAAATCTAATTATATCAAGTAGTATTCTAATTAATTATTATAGTTGTTGGTAAAATATATTGATAGATAATTATATTTTGTCAGATATACATAATGATTTGGAGTTGCTAGAAGATATTATGTCCAGCTCAGATGAGGAAATGGATGACAGTGATAAAGATAAAGATTATGTACCAACTCAGCAACAGCAACTACTTATAGATTTAGATGAAGTTAATGACTTACCTATTGATGTAAATATATTTCTAAATAATGATGATCTTGAAAACGAACTCATAAATGTAGAAGCAGACAATGTTTCAAATCAAAATATAAGTGGTGAAAACGAACTCATAAATTTAGACGTAGACAATGTTTCAAATCCAAATATGAGCGGTGAATTTAATTTTGTAAAGTCAGGATTTCCTCCAAAAAAATTTAAAAAAGTTAGATTTAGAGAAGAACAAGGTCCAGTAGACAAAAACATTTATAAAATGCCGCCAATAGAAATATTTCAATTGATGATTGGTCCTATATTTCAAACTATTGTTCAACAAACAAATTTATATGCTCAGCAAAAAAATGTTAATATCAACACAAGCATTGAAGAAATAAAAGCATTTATTGGAATTTTAATTGTTATGGGTTACCATAGCTTACCTAGCATCAGGTTATATTGGTCAAATGATCCTAATTTTTTTTGTGAACGTGTGGCCAAAATCATGCCTGTAAAAAGGTTTTTGAAAATTCTACGGTTAATTCATCTTAATGATAATTCCCAAATGCCATCAAGAAATTCTTTGGATTTTGATAAATTATATAAAATTCGTCCTATGATAACGCATTTGAAAGATATTTATCAATCTGTATATCGCCCATCAAGATACTTGGCAGTCGATGAAAGCATGGTAGCATATAAGGGACGTTCCACTATGAAACAATATATGCCCATGAAACCTATCAAAAGGGGTTTCAAAATATGGGCATTGGCTGATTCTTATAGTGGTTTTTTACTGAATCTTGATATATACACTGGAAAAAAATCAAATGGAATACCTGAGTATGGACTAGGAGAAAACGTTGTGTTATACTTGACCAAAAAATTGAAAAACTTATTTTACTGTGTTTTTTTTGATAATTTTTTTACCAGTATACCTCTAATTTTTAAACTTTTGTGTGATGGTATATTTGCATGTGGAACATTTAGAGTAAACAAAAAGTATTATCCAAAACACCTTATGAAAAATGATGGTAAATATACTTCTGGTGACATTGAATATGCCCAAAGTGAAGATATTGGTATTATGCGATGGAAGGATAGAGGAAGTAAACCAGTGACACTTGTTAGCAACATGCATAACTCTTCAGATACATCTACAGTACTGAGAAAAAATGGTAAAGGGGAAAGGATTCAAGTAAAGTGCCCTACTGGAATATCAGATTATAATAAATACATGGGAGGCGTTGACAAATTTGATCAATATATGTCTCCATACTCAATTTCTCAAAAGTCGTGGAAGTGGTGGATTAAACTTTTTTATTATATGGTTGATACTGCTATTGTTAATTCTTATATTTTATATAAAGAAAGTTGCAACAAGAATAAAAAAAAGTACATTACACATTTAGAGTTTCGATCGAGATTAACGGATGAGCTTATTGGGAATTTCTCATGCCGGAAAAAGAATACATCTTCCCCCCACGAACAAAGATATAAAAAAAAACAAAAACTTTCCATCGCTCATGATTTTACAGGTGTTGATCATATGCCAAAATTCATAGATAAATATAGAAGATGCAAAATGTGTAGCACTAAAGCAAAAGAAAAAAGATCCAATATGATTTGTTCTACATGCGACATAACACTATGCAAACAATGTTTTGTACCATATCACAAACCTACCTAAAATTGTTTATCCCTATTTCATTACTTTTATTATTTATATGGAAAATTCCAGAAGTTTATTGTTTTATTTTACTAGAAATGTATCAGGTTGTTGATTTTTATTTTAAAGATATATAATAATTATTATTTATTTTTTATCAATTTTAGTTTTACTAAGTATAAGTTCAATTGTTTTTTTTTATTATTATTTATGAATTAAATACATTTCACAGGGATGTGCATTATAGAAATGTTGTGTTTTTAATGTTTTATAACATATTTTTTACTTTTTTTATTTTTATTATATTTAGGTATATTAGTTTGAATGAGGCTTGTATATTTTTCTAAGTAACCGCATAAGTGGGAAATATATTACCATTGCCCGTTCAGTAAATCCCACGGTCGTAAAGGTGCAAAGGGAAACTATTTTCCCACCACTTTTCCAATCATGCAAAACAAATTAAAAATTTTCCAATATTTTTCCCAAAATCAGAGTACTCCATACTGAATGTATACCAATTTTCAGAAAAATCTGGTGATTTTTTTTGTTCTGCCCTATAAAGGGTTAAAGGTGTGTTACAACGCTCTTCTTCTCTGTTTCGAAGTTGAGCTAAGGGATTGGTACTTTTTCTTATTTTTTTTTTTATAACTTGGAAACTGTTTTCAAAATGGAAAGTACTGAATAAATCTAAATGGCCATACTGCCAAAAAGGTTGTAAATGTAAATGTTTTATAATTTCATAAAATCTACTTACCACTGAACGTACTGTTGAAATTTTCAATTGAAAAAAATATGAGTTGGTTAACGGAAGACAAGTTGAGGTACCTCATTCCTTTAGTCACAACCCTCAGCCGTGTTATAATTATGATGACTATAATTTTGAACTACGTAAGAAACTTCAAGAATCACACAAGTTAGCTCGAGATAAAATCATAAAAACAAAAGAAAAGGCAAAAACAAATTACGATAAAAATGAACACAGCATAAATATCAATGTAGGGGATAAAGTACTTACGAAAGATCATACTCAAAAAGGAAAAATTAGTCCTAAATGAAAAGGACCATTTGAAGTCATCACAATTCACGACAATCAAAATGTGTCCATTCAACGAGGAAAAAAAAGAAGTGAAAATTCACAAAAATGAATTGAAAATATTTTCAGAATAATAATAATAAAATATTATTTTTTTTTTAAATAAAAATTATATGAAAACAATAAAAAATCTAATAAACAAATATGGTATTGTTTCAGACTGGACAGTACTATACAAGTAAATACACAATTCACAAAAACACCTATCACACAACCGTCAGGGATATATTTCCAAACAATAAGTACCCTAAAACTGTCCAATTCGCATTGGAAGTTACTCACATATGTAAATATCACCAATTATAATGAAAAACAGTCAGTCACGAATCCAAGAGATCAATAATAAAATAAAAGAATCCTGTGAGTTAGGAAATAATCTTAAGATAGAATACACAAAACATGTTTGCATGCAGTACACTAATCAAGCGGAAAGCTTCTTGACCGAAATCAATAGTAACAAAAACCACATCATAAAAATCATCGAGCAACATAAATCATATAATATTCGTAATAGGAGAGGACTAATTAATATGGTAGGAGGCGTGGCTAACGTACTATTTGGTGTATGCGACGACAATGACGCTAAATATTTTCACGACAAAATCAAGGAACTCGAAAGCTCTAAATCACAACTTTTCCAAATAACTGAAACGCAAACTCAAATTATGAAATCAATGTTAACAAATGTAAATTCATCATTAATCGAATTAGAAATAAAACAGGGATATCTGGTAGACGGGTACAATCATTTATTACATAAAACAGACGTGGGAGAAATGGATGTAGGTATTCTAAAATTCCAAAATGCATTGACGGAACGCATAGCACTGTTAAATGTAATTTTAAACCAGTACGCTTACGAAACAGAAAATTTGATTAGTATCTTTAATTCAGCACTTTTAGGTCATATTCATCCAAGTCTATTAGACGCAAATGAATTCAACCAACAATTAAAAAAAAAATAAAAATGCAATTATCAATAGGATTAGGCTTACCAATTGACCTAGCAGGGAAAGGGATATTGGAACTACTACGGATAGTGGAAATTAGTGTAGTGTACGTAAAGGAATCCTAATGTTCATTTTGGAAATTCCATTAATTGACAACTATGATCTTATGTTGTATTAATCTATTCCTTTAAATGTAAAAATACGAAGTAATTTGTATGCTATTATAGAATCAAATTCTGGTTATATATCAATATATAAATCACTTCTATATTATATAGAAATAAGTAATTCTCAACTTTCAAAATTTAAAACAACCCCAAACACTATTATTTGTAATCATGAACAACCTATACAACACGTAAGAGATTCATGTGAAACAATGTTATTCCGAAATCCTAAAACACTTCCAAATATAATATGCACTATTAAATACATTAAGTTTGGCCACAATGTATGGCATAAGTTAGAAAATAAGAATTCATGGTTATATGTAACGAGCAAAGAAAATATTATAATTACATGTAAAAATGTAACAGCACCATTAATAATAAGTGTAAACGGCACTGGAATATTTAGTTTAGAAAATCATTGTGAGGCTTACACTGCGGATAACGAAATTAAATTAGTAGATACGTAAAAGGAAAAAAGTACAAACATACATAAAAATTACACTCCAAAACTTAACTTATCTATACTTATCTATATATTTTGATATGCTAAAAAATGTTTCTAATAAAGATTTGGATAACACTTTGTTTCCAAAAGAAAATTTAAGAATAAAAGATAATCTGAATAAACTAACAGAATATTCCAAATCACTAGATGAACTACAAAGTCACTTTAAAAGAAATGTTGTCGATATGATTTATGACTCAAATCATTATCTACTAATCGGTGTAATAGTTATGGTCAGCAGTGTGGGCTTATTATTAGTATTAGTATTATTATTTTAAATGTATACAAATTATCAAAACAAAGAAATCGTATCTAAAACATATGAGGACCTAGGAGTTACTCATTCCCCTGAAAGTCCATTACCCAGAATAATTTAGATATTATTAAATGGGAAATGAGCTTTCATTTTACCCTGGGGGTGTTACGAACCCCTGTTTATAATTTCTTAGTAATTAGCACAAAAGCACAATAAGCACTTTTTGGCAATATCCGTCGACGCAATAACAAAATATGGAATGAGCGTCGCTGGCAGTCGTATTTTTATATTACACACGGGACTCACGTGAATTCGTATTGAATAAAAGTATTTATAGTCCAGTCTAATTAGGAAAAATATTGGAACTAATTCCTCGAAAGCTGAATTTTGGTACACAGTCAGTCCATAGCTTACTGATCTAGTACTCAGTGCTTCGGGGGTACGAAGAAATTCGTACTATTAACCCACTGTGTGCACAGATAATCGGAATTATCCGATCGCCGTCGTCCACTTTCACCCGCCGCCACCGTCTCCTGTTTTCACGGCCACTCTCGGGGACACTGCCATCGTCCATACACTGTTCGAGGGATATACGTCATTTCGTCGCGGTAATTTTGTCGCACGTCAATTCGTCGCGGTCAATTGGTCGCAAGACAATTGAACGCATACGAAATTTCGTCGCGTGTAATATCGACGCATGCTACATTTGGTCGCTCGTCATTTTATCGCATATAGGTATATTCTAAATAATAATAATAATTTTACATATCAGTCATTTTAGCTTATTGTTATATATATTTGTATTTTTTCACCTCAAAAATATATATGTATTAGTATAAATCTTAAAATCTTATGCTGTCAAAGCTATAATGTTCAATAAAAAAAAAAAATAATAATAATCTAAATAAAATATTTAAAAATAATATTTACTATTTATAAAAATTAAAATTATGAGCAATACCTTTCAAAACCTCGCATATTAGATTATTATTAACATTTTTACATATCTGCATTAATCTAATAGATGAATCATTATATTTTTTTTTTACATGGTACATGCCCAGCAATTATTTGTTCTATTATCATTTTATTTAAACTTTCTTCTTTTTTTATTGACTCAATAAATTTCTAAATAATTGGTCATGTATGACTTATCATTGCTGAAACCCCATTATGCCAGCCCTCTATTTTATTGTTAGTCCTGGGTAAACTTTCTTGTAACCTATCATAACAGTTCCAGATTTCAATGGAAAATAATGGAGGTCGGCGATTACCTCTCCTATCCAAAATGCCAATCCACGTGCCTTGAAAATATGTTATTAGTGGTGATAACATTTGTTCATTTTCAATTTAATATGTGCTTTCTAATAATAATTCAAAAGATTCTATCACTTTATCGACGGGTACAAATGCAAGTGCAGCTAATTTTCGTACTTCTAAAGAAAATTTTACATCGTCACTGTATTGTTTTGCAAGACCATGGTGTTGTATTTGTCTCCAAACCGCTTGACTTAAGTGAAAGACGTGTATAGGTGGTACTGTATAACATTATAATCGGTAGAGAGTAGAGACTCGTGATGACTGATGAGTAGGTACACTGTAATAATTCGAATATTCGATAAAGACTCACGTAAAAACCAAATAATGAATTACCTACTGAAGTAAAAATAAATGATAAAGAAGGTACTACACCACTACCACTAAATTAAAAAGATACTATAGAATTATTATATATATTATATTATTAAATGTTCCTACCCAAAAAGATAAGGTAATCTATTTTATCTAATACTAGCTATATACCTATATAAATATATGCGATTAAATGACGCGCAACCAAATGTAGCATGCGTCGATATTACACGCGACGAAATGTCGTATGAGTCCAATTGTCGTGCGACCAAATTACCGCGACGAAATAACGGGATACCCTGTTCGAGACACCCGGACCAACTGTCGTCACTGCCATCTCACGTTTCTACGGCCACCCTCTTGAACACTACCGTCATCAAAGCCGCCGTCGTCGTCCCTATCAATTGTTCTGGACGCCTCTGGCCCACATCGCTATTACTATACTCTGTTCCAAAAGAGAACGGTCATTTCGGCCGACCGGTTTTTGTCGGTCGCTGCGCATCTCCCACCAACGACCCATAAATGGGCGGTCATTAATGCCTGATCCAGCGTGCGTTCACGTGTGCATCCTGCATGGTCCTACGGGTGCGTGCGTCGTGCGTTACTGTGTGGCTCCTATGCGTGCGTGCGTCGTGCGTAACTGTGTGGCTCCTATGTGATAGTGTATACAAAAATTATAATACTGAAATTAGGTACCTAACACTCAGTTGAAGTTGAACTACTTTTTTAATTTTTATAAACTTCCGAATAGATCATCAGTGAATTAACTATTATCTATAACTTGTATCTAGGACCTAGGTAGAGAATAAAAAATATTAATTAATTAATTGATTAGTACTTGTTAAGTATTTAATTATAAAATATAAAATTAATCATAATATAAAATAATTCAAACTGATACAATACAATATTAAAAACTAATTAATAATGTATAAAGTTAATATTATGATAATTAGAAAACTGCATCTTACATTGCCCATCACTCCATTAAATTAGATGCGATATCGGTCGTATCCACAATTAGTAATTACCCGATAACGCGAAAGCTTCGTGTGAGAGAGATCGATAGTGACTACAGGTAGACAGACAGAGACCGTCACGATACACGCGCCTTAGATATCATCATTATTGGCCATTACACACCGTTCGACCGAATTATACGTTTTATTATATTTCAAATTACGTTTTGTGAGCTGTGTAAGGTGTAACCTCTACGGAGTACGACCTATTTTTCTACCTCTACGACTGTGCACAGTATTTTGTTTTGTTTTCTTTCATTTTTATTTTTTAAGCTATGGAAGACATTCAATCTCCAAGAAAACGTAATCCTCAAGGAAAGGTAAATATTAATTATTCAATTATTATTTAATAATATTATTTAGATGGTGACGTATTGCAGGCGTAAAACGCCGTGAAAAACTAAGAAAAAAACAGGAATTTTTACGCAAAATCTAATTTCGAGAAAATCGATTTTGATTTTTGATACATTTGATAAATTTCAAATTTTGACAAAATACGTAAAAATCATAAAAACTATTTTGAGCAAGAAATTCATAAAAAATTTTCTTTTCAAATCTAAGATTTGAAATTTTAATACAAGATTCCTCATAAGTTTGATAAAGGTGGCAAAAAAAATTGTCTACCAGGAATTAAAATTAAATTTTTTGTTGCGTTTGAAGTTTAAATTTTGACAAAATAAATTACTTTTAAAATTACGAAATTACGTATTAAATAAATTGTTGTAATTTAAAAATATTATTCATTGGTGCTTGAAACTTTTAAGGTATATTAGTTTATACAAATATGATTATATGCAAATAATATTAATTCAACCTATCGACCTAACCTATCGACTACAGTAGTTATAATAACAATATAAATGTAATATAAAATATCTTAGGCTGACAAACCGTCTCCGCTCAGAATCGTTTTTCGTATATAATGATGTATCATTGAATTCAAATTTAACACGATCCATTACAGTGACTCACTTGTAATCTACTGTACAGCAGAGCGTCATACACTTACCCGCTTTTTTATTATTTCAGTTTGTGTCATCTGGCCAAAGAATATTGATTATAAATGCATACAAACACTATATTACCCAAAACCCAAACGCTAAAATGGTTCATCTAAAAAAAGTTTTATCAGAACAACTGGGAATTGGAATTGGAACTATTTATCAAACAATTTTGGAGTACAAACGGTCCAAAACAATTTCATCTCCTAATAGAACCAAAAAGTTTATAAATGTGAAGGATAAGGTAGATGATTTTGATAAATATGCAATAAGACGGAAGATACATAAATTTTGGTGTGACCGCGAGTTCCCGACGTTAGACAAAATACTCCAAGTTGTTAACGAAGATGAGGACTTACCTGATTTCTCTCGTACCTCAATGTACAGATTAGTAAAATCTATGGACTTTGTGTACGTGAAACAAGGCCGTAATAGCGCTTTAATAGAAAAAACTGAAATCGTCGATTGGCGGAGGCGATATTTAAGGGCAATACGGCGATATCGAGAGGAGGGTCGGCCAATATATTATTTGGACGAAACTTGGGTCAATGCTGGTGACGTTCCATACAAAGTTTGGTGCGATAAATCGGTCAAATCAGCGAGAGATGCGACTTCAAAGGGCCTTACAACCGGTGCAGTAAAACCAAGTGGAAAGAGGAAACGTCTTATTGTTTGCCATATTGGTTCTGAAGATGGTTTCGTCCCTGACAGTTTGTTATGCTTTGAGTCTAAAAAAAACACTCAAGACTATCACGATGAAATGAATGGTGAATGTTTTCGTGAATGGTTGGAAAGTGTTTTGCCAAGACTCAAAGATAACGCTGTTATTGTTATGGATAACGCCCCTTATCATTCCGTAAAACAAGAGAAATGCCCAAATGTAAATACAAGGAAAGCCGATATTATTGCGTGGCTCGAGAGCAAAGGAGAGGTTGTTGATAGGTCTATGGTTATTCGAGAACTGATTCCGATTGTCAATAGACTGAAGCCAATGTACAACAAATACGTCATAGATGAAATGGTCAAGTCACACAATAAAGATATACTTCGATTACCACCATATCATTGCGAGTTCAACCCGATTGAGCTCGCATGGTCCAGTATAAAAAATTATGTAAGAAAGAATAATACCACTTTCAAAGCTGCATGATGTCAATCGATTATTAATTGAAGGCATCCAAAGGGTAGATTCTGAGATGTGGAAAAATTTTATTAAACATGTGGTTGACGAGGAAGATAAATTATGGAAAATGGACATCGTTGTTGATGAGTTGACGGCTGAACAAGAACCATGTGTTTTAAATCTGGGCCCCGATGACTCGGACTCAGAATCTGACTCTGACTCACAATCGGACTTGGACTCAGATAACGATATCAGACCTCTTTCAGACTAGACTATGATTATTTTTTACTATTATTAATATTATATTTGTATTATTGTTTTTGACTATGATTATTGTAATTGTATTATTGATTTTGACTATGATTATTTTTACTATTATTAATATTATATTTGTATTATTGTTTTTGACTATGATTATTGTAATTGTATTATTGATTTTGACTATGATTATCTTTTTTTATTTTTAATATTATATTTGTATTATTGTTTTTGACTATGATTACTATTATTAATTTGACTATTACCTACATTATAATTGTGTTATTATGATTTTCTATTATTCTTAATTTTGTCTAAAAAATGAGTGTTAGGATTTGACGAACATTTTTCTCTAAGAAAAATTGCGCAGTGATACACTTCACCAATTCAACACAATCGCATTACTAATCAGTAATTAGTAAAGTAGCCGCAGGCCTCGCGCGTTTCAGTAATCGTAAAACCTCGTCAACGCCTTCGTGAACCGTCGGCTAGCAAGGTGGGAGAGATTTGGCCTTGGCACTGCCGCAGCCGTCAGTCGTATGCGCAAAAGTGACCGTTCTCTTTTGGAACAGAGTATATACTATCTGTTCGAACGCGGCTGAACTTCCCGCCGAATCTACCTAAGTCCAAAGACTTTACAAGTCGCGTGATCGGCGTGGAATGTTCGCGACGAGTCGTTCCCCCTCCACGGTGTCCACACGCCGGCCGGCCACCACGGCTCTCGTGCCGAGACAGTGAGACACTTGTTTTGTCTTTTGCCAACGCTTGAACTTGGCGGATCACGTACCGCCGGTTCGCGTCGCATCGTGGGGCTGTGTTCGACCTCGTGGTCAGTCGACATTGGTGCAGTGTATTTATTATTTTTTATTATCGTAAGTTGTGCACGTTAAGACCGTCGTAAACCTCGAGACAGTCGGGGTTTGACGGATCGTTGTCGAGGCCCACCACCGAATTATATTATACCTGAAGACGCTGTCGTATTTCCAGCAAGGACCGCGTGCTGACCAGTGACCAACGCCGAAGGTGTCGATCAGGTCACATTATACCTACTATTTATTTGCTGTTCAGATGTATTATAATTACTGTCATTATTTATTATTTATTATTATTGGTTTTAGCACGTGGTGAACGGCCCACGGCGCCTACATTTATTTATTCATGATTATATGTACTTTTAACATTATTATGTTATTATTAGAGCCCGGATTTATATGCATTTAAAAAGTGTCAAATATGATGCAAATATGCAAAGAAAAAGTGGCTAAATATGCAATTATATGCATTATGTTACACTTTATAAAATGTGTTTTTTTTAAAAAAAAAACCACACTACTACACCAAAGAAAATTCTAAAAATGTTAACAAAAACAAAAAAAAATGATTATATCCACTGCTCTGTATTTCAAATCATTTAAATCAATCGAAAACATTTAGGAAACTTAAAAAAGAGAATACAAATAAAAAAACAACTAAAATCATACATAAATATTTTAGATCATTTAAAGTTACTCTTAAAAAACTAATGGAGAACTTAAAAAAAAAATACAAATCTTTTAACATAACATTTTTGAAAATTTAAATATTTTAAACATTTTACATTAATAATATAAATTTTAAAACTTGTCAGAACAATACTAAAAATTAAAATATTATAATAGGTTCTTTTTAATAATTTTCATAACAGTGAACAATAATATATTTTTCCATATTTTCTGATGTCATGGAAGTTCTTTTTTCAGTTAGAATTGACTTATACGTACTAAAAGACCTTTCTACATCCACCGAAGTTATCGGTGCAAACTTCATACATGAACACATAGAAGGAGTTAAATTAGATGGCATAATACTGTTTTCTTTACCTGACAAAATTGTTGTTATCTGCTTCGCGGTTTGGAATCCAACATTTTTTTCAATTAAATATAACAATTTTTCTTGAATTATTTTTCCCTGTTGTCCTGGTACTTTTTCCATCGCCAAAATAACATTATTTACTATTTGAATAGAATCACACAAAGTTAAACTAGAACGTTCCAAATTTTTTATACTTTTCACTAGTATAAAAAAATGAGATTGAATAAATGTAAGGTCATTTTTAACAGACTCCAAACTTAGCATATTAAT